ACATGAAAGGCTTGGGCTATTTTCTCCCAAAGCGTGGGCCCCGGCGGCCCCGGGAGCTGCGTAATTAGAAGGAGCTCTGGGCGCACAAGAGGCTGGAGCCGGGCGCTGTGGTGGACCAGGCAGCCTGCCGCAGGCTCAGCTGGGGAGGACCCTAGTCAAGACTTGAGGCGGGTGGGTTTGGCCCTCGCCCTCCCCCCCTCCTAGGCTGTGGCTGCTCAGCAGGGCGGGGGTCACCGCTGCTAATTGCATGTTAGGCACAGGGTGAGGCCTCAAGGCTGGGCAGAGGGCCCACTGCTCTGTGCCTCTGAAATTACAGGTTGCACACGGGTGGCCCTGCCCGCTGCCTGCCACAGGCCTGCCTGTGGCCCCATGGAGCTGTGGCAGTTCAGGCCACAGGATCATCCAGCCACGCCCCGGGACAGGTCCTGGGACCAGCGAACGTGGGATGCGAGTCCTTTGGCGAGGACAGGGGGTGGCTGGAGCAAAATCCCCTCCTTTTTACTTCCTTATAGCATTTTACGGCGCTGGATTATCTTCCCAACTTGCCAGCTCACTTGCTGCTCGCCTGTCTCTCCTGCAAGGAGGTCCATGAAGCTAGAGCTGGTGTAGAGCAAAATAAGGTCGGTGTATCATCTCCCTGTGCCTCCACTTCCCCGTCCGTAACAGGCAGGCTGGACTAGGGTCCTTCAGCCGGTGCCGGAAATTTACAGAGCATCTACTATGTTCCAGGCGCTGGTGCTAGCGATACAGGGACAGAAAAGTCCCTGACTCTGGACCCGAGCAGTGGACAGTGTAGAGATGCATGCAAACAGGCCATCGCAGCCCTAGTCGCAGCCCTAATGTTTGACAACATTAGGTTGTCAAAACACGGGAACGCAAACGTGGAGGTCAGGGCGGTCATTGACATCCACAAGCTTTTATCGAGTGCCTACTGTGTTTCAGGCACTGTCCTAGATGCTGGAGGCCAGGTGGTGCACAGCAGGCATGGTTTCTGGTCCCTGCAGACCTGGTTCATCTCCTCTTGCTCGATAACAGCCTTCAGGAGCTGCTTTGGGGCAGCTGGGTTCCCGACCACCTCGGGGCCATGGCATGGGCTGTTCTCACCGCCAGGAATCCTCTAGCATTGTTGCCTTCCTAACTAAATACCTTCTCCTCACCTTCAGCTCTACAATCACTTCCTCATGGAGGCCTCCATGACCTCCGGGACCAGACTCGCAGCTCCCCCAAGACTAGCCTCCCACAGCCCCTGAACTGCCTCATCCCAACTCTTAGCCCAGCTTGCAGTTAGATACTCACTTCTTTGTTCCTAACGTATAGCAGGTCTCCCCTCGACTCTGTAAACTCTGTGCCTTTATTTGCTCATCACTGTCCCCCAGGGCTGGGTGTAAAGTAAATGCTGGAAAAAAGATATTGTAGAATGAATCAAACTTAGAATGCCAGTGTGTTGGAAACTTCGTGCTGGCAGGCTGGTGGCAGACATTGAGTCCCGTCCCCCACGTAGCAGCAGCCTGGAACGGGGTGGTGATCAGGCCTGCCACCCACAACTGATGTGTGAGCTGGGGCTCGAGCTCCTGGATCCTTTTTGCTTCCCTCGGCGACCGACATCCTTGCTGTTCTGACCTCAGGTTGCAGGTAGGGGCTGTGGGTTGGCCGAAGGAGGGTGTGTGTGTCTTTGTGTGCAGGTGTGTACGCTGACTTGGTCCGATGGCCTTTTTGTGGGGCAGAGCCCCTGGCAGGGAGGGTCCCTGGCCTGGCAGTTTCATTTCTAGGTAAGACCCGGGGGCCCTGAAGAAGAAAGTCCTAGCCATGTTGGTGGGTCTCGTCAGGTTGCTCTGCCGGCAGCCTCAGTCCCCGCATCTGCCAGAGGGACTTCGCTAACCACACGCCGGTCCCGAAGCACTTACGGAGCCTGCGCAGGGCTGGGCGCCGCAGGAGGAGGAGCCCCAGTGCTTTGGAGGGTGGGTGATTCCGGCTCCCCAGGGAACAAGTAGCAATACTCAACCTCAGTGTGGGTGGCGGACCGTGGCCCCTCCCCCAGAGAGGTCCACGTCCCTGTCCCTGGAACCTGTGAATGTATGTCACCTGACGTGGCAAAAGGGACTTATCTGCAGGTGGGATTAAGTTGAGGTTCTTAGATGGGGGATTATCCTGGATGATCTCAATGGGCCCAACTCTGTCATCCCAAGTGACTTTAAAAGTGGGAGAGGGGTGGGAAGAGAGAATCAGAGGGGGCAGAGCGACGAGAACTCAGGCCACGGCAGCCCCCTGCACCGTGAGGCAGCGGAAGAGGCCTATGAGCTGAGGAATGCAGGCAGTTTCTAGAAGCCCGAGAAAGCAAAAGAAGCAGCACTGGCCGAGTGGCTCAGTTGGCCGGAGCGTCGTTGCCCCGTAACTTAAGGGCTGTGGGTTTGATTCCCGATCCGGGCGCACGCGGTCCCTGGGCCTACAGGAGGAGGCAGCCAATCGACGTTTCTCTCACGCGTCAATGTTTCTCTCTCTTCCCCCTTGCCCTCTCCCTAAAAGCAATGAAATATATGTCCTCAGGTGGGGATTTAAAAAAAAAAAAAAAGGAAAAGAGACAGACTTCCCCCCCATTAGGGTGCCAGGGCGAATGCAGCCAGGCCAGCGCCCTGCTTTTAGCCGTTGCTGACTTCTGGCTGCCAGAGCTGCGGGAGAGGGAGCAATGCGGGAGGGCGTGGGGACAACTGTAATTCGACAACAATAAAAAATATGAATAAATCAACAAACAACAAGTGCTGGCGAGGATGTGGAGAAAAGGGAACCCTCGTGCATTCTTGGTGGGAATGCAGACTGGTGCAGCCACTGAGGAAAACAGTGTGGAATCTCCTCAAAAAACTAAAAATGGAACTGGCTATTGACCCAGCGATTCCACTGCTGGGAATATACCCTCAGAATCTCCAAACACCAATTCAAAAGAACTACGCACCCCTATGTTCATGGCAGCACTATTTACAATAGCCAAGTGCTGGAAACAGCTTCAGTGCCCATCGGTAAATGAGTGGCTCAAAAACCAGCGGTGCCTTTACACAAAGGAATGCTACGGAGCAGGAAGAAAGAAGGAGCTCCTACCCTTCGGTGACAGCATGGATGGAACTGGAGAACGTTACACTAAGTGAAATAAGTCAGTCAAAGACAAATACCATGTGATCTCACCTATAAAGAAGAACCTAATGAGCAAAATAGAACCAGAGGCATGGAAACATGGAACAGACTGATAGCGACCAGAGGGGAGGGGGAGGGGGATAATGGAGGAAAGAAGGGGAAGGGCCCAGTCAAGGAATGACCCAAGGACATGGACAACAGTGCAGGGGTTGCCTGTGGGAGCCCCCCGGGGGGGGGGGGGGGGGGGAAGAGGGCCTGGGCGGAGGAGGGCAAAGGGGGAAAAATTGGGACGACTGTAAACGAATAACAAAATATTTTTTTAAAAAAAGAACTGTAGGAGAATAAATGCGTGCTGTTTGCAGCCACTAAGTGTGTGGTAACTTGTTACAGCGACAACGATAAACTCATACACCTGCCCTCTGGCCGAGGCTACCCTGCTGCCCAGCAGCCCGCCCCTCCATCTCCCCCGCAGAGGCCCCGCGGGGGGCGGGCCACGGTGGCGGCAGGGCCCGAGCTTAGGTCTATCTGCCTCTGGGTCCTGCATTCCTTGTGGGAGCTGCTCGGCCCCCGGAGGAGGGGCACGGAGTGGACCCTGTCTTAGGCTGGATGAACGCCATCCTGAGCCCTGCGCGCCTCCTGCGGGCGTGCCCAGCCCTCATCCCTGGCCGCGCTGCTCCGCCCTTCGCGCGCTGGGTCTTCGCCCAAGCGCGCCTCTGGTCTCCTCCCGGTCAGACCCCGCTCGTTCCCAGCCAAGCCCTCTGGGACCGTGTCCCTGCCTCTTTCTCTCTATGGGCCTCTCTTTGCTCTGGGGTCCCTGGGCCCTTGGCCTGGCCTCTCTCCTGCCGCAGACCCTTTGCTGTTTTGCGAAAGAGTAGCTTTTGTAGGTGTCCTTCTCCCTGGAAGTCCTCGAGCTCCCGGAGCGCGGGTCGGTGTCTGCCTCGCTTCGAGGCTGGCTTGGCACGGCGTCTGGTGCCTGAAGGGGTTCACTAAGAACATCTTGAACGTTCATTTCCTGGATGAATGAATGAGTGAATGAATGAGTGGGTGAAAGGACAGATGAGGAGGCGCTGGCCCACTGGAGTCCTCGGGTCAGCCAGTGGTTCCGGGGCCACTGCTGGCCTGTCTCAGCCCCCTGGTTGGGTGCCTTGAACGCGCCCCGCCTTGCGTCCCGTCTGTGCAGTCAGCTCACAGCCCCGCTGCAGCCGCACCACCGGGGGAAGTGTGGGGCCGCCGACCGAGAACGCTGATCAGAGCCCGAGGTAGCCCAGGAAGCTCCCTGCCCACCCTGCCCACGGGGAGACTGTGGCTTGGAGGAGGCCAGGGCCCGACCAGGGCGGGACAGTGGGTGCCAGAACTTGCTGCCCGCGTCAGCCCCAGACCCTCCTTCGGCCTCCAGGGATGCTCGGCCTTGCGCACAGCCCAGCCCCCACTCTGCACCCCGAGCCCCAGAAAACCTGAGGCACAGCTGGGACCACTGACCGAAAACTTTCCTCCTCACTTCTAGGGGCCTCCGAACCTTCCTGACCTGCTCTTCTCTGGAAGGAGGGCAAGACTCCAGCTTGCTGTTTGCAGGGGCACTGTGGGGCAGCCCTGTCTGTCTGTCTGTCTGCCTGTGTGCCGCGGCCTACCCTGGGGACCAGTGTTCAGGGAGGAAGTGCCCCATCTGGGCTTCCCCGCAGCGTTGAGGGGGCGCCTGCGGGAGTGGGAGCGAGGCGGGATGTGTGTGGCCCAGCGCGGCCCCACCCCTCCCCCTGTCCCCACCCCAAACCCCTTAATGAAATCAAGCTGGCCCCGCAGCCAGGGAGGGAGGGAGGGGGCGGGAGGAGGGCGGGGCGGCCAGCCCAGAGCAGCGCCGGGCACGGGCACCGACTCTCTCTCGCTCCACCTGGCGGGAGCACCAGGCCTGTGTGCGGAGGGACCGGTGAGTCCTGGGGTCCCCTCCTCTGTCCTGGGAGCCTGGGGGTGCCATGGAATTTAGGGCCCTGGGCCGGCGGGAGCGCTTTGGGGGAGCGTCTCTAAGAGTGTGTGAGTTTGGAGGGTGTGCTGGATGCTGCGTACGTGTGATGTGTGCTGAGGGCGAGGGGGCGGAATGTGCGGGCGCCGTCTATGGCCCTGCGAGCTGGAGCGTTGTCTGGGTGCCACCGTGGCCTCGCTGTAGGCCACATGAGGGGACGTGTCGACCCTGAAAGTGGGCGCCAGGGTGGTCGCTCCCAGCGGAGGGTGGTGTGGCCGGGACGGTCCTGTCTGGGGGGATCCACGGCGTGACAGGGGGTTGCGTGTGCACGTGTGGTTGGAGAATTGGCCTGTTGTGTGTCGGAGTCTGTTGTCCGGACGTCTGTGCTGGTGGGCCGTGCGAGCCCATGGGGGTCCGGGTGTTGTGTCTGTGTGTTGTTTGTCTGTATGTGTATTGTGTGTCTGTGCTGCTGCTGCTCTTTGTGTGTGTGTGTGTGTATGTGTGTGTGTGTATTTTGAGCCCTCAGCACCCTTATCCCTCCCCAGGTCTCCCTGCCAAGGGACCCAGGTCCCTGTCCTCGGCTGCCCCGGAGCAGGGGGTGCAGGGCTTCAGCCAGACCCCCTCCCCCCAAGGCCACTAATTGAAGCCAGGTTTTTGTGGGCCGCCCTTCCCCCTCGGCTACCAGCCTCTGGGTGGGGGTGGAGCAGCTGCCGCGGCCCCTCAGCCTCAGGTCTTGGGGTACCTAGGTCTCAGGGGTGGATTTGGCATCATCTGCAAATTCCTGACCTCAGCTGGGGCTGTCACATTTTAAAACAATGAGCCCTGAGTGAGAGGCCCTGCTCCGAGCTGGGAGTCCTGGCCCCTCATGGGGCGCCCGCTCGTTGACACCCACTATTCTCCAGGCCCTGCTGTTTCTTGTCCTGAGCGCCATCTGGGGAGGCGGCCCTTATCCCCACTGCGCAGATGTGGAAACCGAGGCCCAGAGTCATGCATAGGACACACAGCTGGAGAGCGACCTCCTGCAGGGGATTCTGAGTGGCCTGTCCAGGGTTCCGTTCAGGACTCGGCCCTGACAGGCTGTGCGCCCCCAGGCAGGCTGTCCCTGATTCAGCCCGTGTCCCTCCGTGTGAAATGAGGAATGGTGGCCTGACACCAGCTCTGGGTGGTCTGCGTATGGGCTCCTGAGTCCTGGAAAAATTAGGACCCAAAAAGAGGTCGGGCAGCACTGCCCGGGCTAGTGTGCCCACCCTACAGATGGGGAAACTGAGGCCCAGAGAAGGCATGGGGCTCGCCATGCAGGGTCCCACAGCTATCTCTCGCGGGCTCCAGCCAGCTCCCAAACTTTGCCTGCACATTTTCCGGGGAGCCGGGGCAGGGGCTGTGGGGCGTGGGGAACTCTGAGAGTCAGGGCCTTGGTCTTTAGGAACCAGAGATTGTTTGCGTGGCATCTTTCTTTATCCTCTGCCCCCTCACCCCAAGGTCTCAGGGGCAGGGGGCATGTTTCTCTGTCCAGCTCTCTGCTGTGCCCCCCGCACGTGTGTGTGTGTGTTGGGGCGTGTGTGGTCCTGGACTCCTCAGTGATCCAAGTTGCGGAGATTTCACCCAATGAGGTAAACATGTTGGCCTGTCCCGGAGGTGGCGAGAGATAATGAACAAACGTGCACATCTGGCGAGGAGAATCATTTGTTGGCTTTGGTGGGAAAATGCTTCCTCTGTGAGCAGCCACACTGTGCCAGGCAGGACCTGGGTTCACCGCACACCCAGCACGCCCCCAATACACAGATGGGGACAGCGCGGCCCAAAAGGGCCAGATGAAAGACTGGCCCGAGATGGAGCCAGGACTCGAGTCCTGGCCTCCCTGGCCTCCCTGCTTTGCCGCCTGCAGGGAACCTCCCAGTCGACCTCCTGGGAAAGCCCCTTGGTCTTCGCCACTGCTGGTTGCAGTCTGTGGTGAGATGCTTCAGCTGCCACCGTGAAAGTTCTCTCCTGAGGCTGGACTGGAGGCAGAAGGCAGGGTGGGGACCGGTGAGACAAAGACCCCAGGATCAAAGCTGTCTGTGGAAACTTGCCAAGAAGAGCCAGAGAGAGGAGGGCCGGGAAGGCTCCCAAAGTTCATGTAGCATCTCCAGTCTTTTTCCCAGCTGACAAGTGACATCAACCAGGGGGTGCGAGGCCAGCCCCGGGGCGGGGGGGCGGGGGAGAAAAGAATTCTTGGTGTCACACAGAAGGTTCACATCCCAGCGTGGACACTTAACTGTCTGTGTGTCCTTTACCGTCTGTGTGTCCTTGGGTAAATCACTATTTGTCTCTGAATCTCAGTTTCCTCGTCTGAAAACGGAGACAAAGATAGTGCCAGTGCCCAGGGCTTCTGTAGGGTGGTGCCCACAGAGGGGCTCAGGTGAATGGCCTGTGGCGAAAGTACAGCGACCAGCTCTTTAAAAATGAACCCCTGAGCCCTGGCCGGGTGGCTCGGTTGGTTGGGAACATTGTCCACGCACCAGAAGGCTGCAGGTTTGATTCCCAGAGGGCACATACCTAGGTTGCGGGTTCGGTTCCCAGTCGGGGAGCATGCAGGGGACAACCGATTGATGTTTCTCTCTCTCTTCCTCTCTATCCAAAATCAGTAAAATCCTCAGATGAAGATTTAAAAAAAAAAAAAAAAAAGAAGAAGAAGCCCTGAGTAGTGTTGCCTCTTTTTATGTCCTGGAATTATCTTTTGGTTTTGCCATCTGAGCCTGTCTGTCCAAATTCATGTCATTTTGATTTGTGACATTTTGATTAGGAGGCCCCAGGCCACTTGGAACAAGCCACTTGATGGTCTAGCGCCATCCTCCCTCACGCCCCGAACCCGCAGAGGCGGGCTCACGCGGGCTCGGCTTCAGGCCGGGGCTCTCAGGGGCACCAGCAGTCAAGGTGCTGGACGCTGGGCTTCCCCTCCGGCCCAGAGCCTGCTGTGTGGCTCTGGGCCTGCCCTCCCCTCCTCTGGGTCTCGCTCTCCCCGTTTCAGACAGGGAGCCCTAAGCCTTTTCTGTCTCGGAGCCTCTAGCCCCACCCTGTCGTCATGGTCCTGGGCCCTCCCCTGGGTCAGGATGGGATTCTCAAGGGGTAACTGGGGGCACGGAAAGGGGTCCCTGGGTTTAGCAGAGCACCTGGCCCACTCAGACCGGCTGGGAGGTTCATGTTTTAGAAGCCGGGCCCCTCCGTAAACCTGAGCCGTGAGGAAGTCATTAGCTGGCCACTGTCTGGGCCAGATCGGGTCTGGGGGTTCATGGTGGGAGCAGCTTTCCAGCAGGAGAGGGAGGGGCAGCATGCAGCTGGGTCCCAGTTGGTGGTGGGCCTCGGGCCCCAAGAGCCTCCAGCCTTGTCTCAGGCCTGGGAGGGGGGTTCCCCTGTGACCTCCAGGTCCCACTTTGAGCCTTGCGGCGGGGGTGGGGGGGCGGTCAGCCACGGCACAGGTGCCCCGGCAGGCTCCTTGCAGGCAGACCCTCTGCGGAGCTCGGAAAGTGCGCAGGCCTCGGGCCCCTGAGTCTTCTGGCGAAGGGGAGGGGACCACAGAGAGGCTGGGGGCGGCTGGGGCAGGTTTCCCACGGGAGGGGGTTCAGCTGCCAGCTACTCAGTGTCTCACTCAGCCCCACCATCTTCAAAGCCTGCTCTTTCTTGGCAAAGTCGCTGGGCCCTTCTGAGCCCTAGCTTCTCTTCCTAGAAAATGGGGCTAATGATGGGAGGGCCCCCACTGAGTGGCTCTCAAGATTCAATGAGAATTTCCAGGTAAAAAACTTAAAATAGTAAGTTTTAAGTTCCCTGCCAGCACATCGCAAGCAGGGAAAGCGGACATGATTATTAGTAGCCCAGTCAAGTCAGTCGAGAGACATGCGTGGAGCACTTAGTGTACACCTGAGGGTGTTAACATGAGTAAGATTCAGCCCCCGTCCCCCAGGACCTCAGAGTGGAGCGGAGAGGGGGGAGGCGGGAACCCCACCTGTGAAGGAACGGGCGTCCCCTGTATGGCGGGGAGGCTCAGGCTGCGGGGAGGGAAGCGGCTTGCTGGAACACGTTGCGTGTTTCCCGCGCCGCCTCGTGGCCCCCGAGACCCTGGAGTCCGGCCCTGACCTCTCTCCTGCCTCGTTTCCCCGCAGCCCCCGGGCAACATGGCTTCTGCCGTGGCCCCCGGCCTCCTGGTGTCTCTGCTGCTGCTCCCAAGGGTCCTGCCCGCGGTGGTCCACTCTGTGCCCCTGCAGGCCGCCTTCCTGGAGGACACAGGGGGCAGCGGGGAGGCTGACGGCGCTTCGGCCTCCTCCCCGAGCCTCCTGCCGCCCCGGACCCCGGCCCTCAGCGCCACGTCGGTGGGGCCGCAGCCCACGCCCCTGGCGGGCCCCCAGCCCCCCACCAACTTCCTGGATGGCATCGTGGACTTCTTCCGTCAGTATGTCATGCTCATCGCCGTGGTGGGCTCCCTGGTCTTCCTGATCATGTTCATTGTCTGCGCCGCCCTCATCACCCGCCAGAAGCACAAGGCCTCTGCCTACTACCCCTCGTCCTTCCCCAAGAAGAAGTACGTGGACCAGAGGGACCGGGCCGGGGGCCCGCAGGCCTTCAGCGAGGTCCCTGACAGGGCTCCTGACAGCCGGCCCGAGGAGGCCCTGGATTCCTCCCAGCAGCTCCAGGCGGACATCCTCGCTGCCACCCAGAACCTCAAGTCTCCCACCAGGGCGGCCGCGAGCAGCGGAGATGCAGCCAGGATGACAGAGGGCAAGTCGGAGGAAGAGGAGACAGGCTGCCAGGAGGAGCAGCGGGAGGCCCAGGGGTGCGGGGTCCCCGCGGAGAACCCGCAGGCCCCGGAGGGGCCGTGCTCAGTGCTGGCAGAGGCGGCCGTGGGGGCCAGCGAGGGCCCTGGGGAGCCAGACGCGGCCCCCTCATTAGCCCGGGAAGCTGGGGACCCAGCTGGCCCCCCGGAAGGCCCCTGTGCTTGTGGCAGTGTCTCCGCTAGCATCTAATAGGCCCCAGGGCTGTGGCCCTGACTGTCGTACTCCTAGCGGTCCCCTCCTTGGGCACAGAAAGGCGCTTGGCCCTTAATGCTCCCCGACGCCCCTCCTTGCCCACTCCCGGCGGCAGATCCCAGCGCGTCCTCATCCTTCAGCGGGCAGAGATGCCGGTCTCCGGTTTGCCCCAGGCATCTCACCAAGTTCTAGAATGTCCACCCCTGCAGCCCCAAAGGGCCACATCCCTAAGCACAGCTGCTGTGGGGAGGCGGGACTGGGGGGTGTCCCTGTTGCAGCCACATCATTTAGGAAACATACTTCGCAGGTCCCTTGTGACGGTGCCAATGGTCCCGCTTTTCATTGAGGTAGAAAAGTAAAACAGGTTACCTAGCAGTTTTGGGGGACTTTAAGCGGGAGATACGGGCGTGCCCTGGTCCGGTGCCGCTAGTGCCACGGCAGCAGTGGGCCTGCTTCATCGGGAAGCTCCCGGGGGTGGGGGGTCCTGCGCGCCTCATGACAGGGCCTTAAATGAGCATTTCCCAAACTGGGTTCCCGGAGGCGCACTGTGGGAACAAGATTTTGGAGCCCAGTGAGTGGAAGGAACACTGGGTCTTGACTCCCCGCACCCCCTTCGAGCACCCCAGGGCTCTGACGGGTCCTACAGTACAGGCCCCGCGGAGTCTGGTTTCACTTAGCCCTGCCCAGACTGCTTTTGACTGTGGAGTGTTTTTTTTTTTTTTTTTTTTTTTTTTTTACCAGCTACAGTGTAAAACGCTGCGGAGCACACTTTGGAAATTACTGCTCTACAGGCTCCTGTAGGTGCCCCTCCCCCTGGTGTCTGCTGGGTGTGGGGTGTGGGGTGTGGGGCGCCCTCGAGTGCTGCCTCTCATCCCGCTACTGCCTTAGGGATGGGGCAGACGCGCGTTGCCCCTTGTCTGTCAGGCTCCCCAAGCAGCCTGGACTCCCGCCCCCGCCCCCGAGAGGAGGAGGAAGAGGAGGGTGTGCTGGGGGAGTCCCAGGGGGCGGGGGAGGGTTTCTGACGCCCGGCCTGGAGCAGCGGCAATGGCCCCCGCCCTCTGCTCGCACACTGTTGTCCGGCAGCCTGCGTCCTCAGCGTTCTTTCGTCCTCGACCAGGGAGCCTGAGCTCCGTCCTGTTTGGGGAGGCTCTGGGGGGGTCCTCTTCCCCATGCCTCCATCTAGGCCCCCCAACCTCTGAGCAAGTCCCCAGGTGCTGAGCTATAATGAACCAGCACAATAAATAAACCTTTATCCTTCCTGTCCTGGGTCTCACTGGTTTTCTGAAGGGGGAGGGAGTCCCCTGGGAGATGGGGGGCATTTCCCCTAGGCTGTTCCACGGGGTGGGGCAATTTTCTGGGGGAGACACATCATCCGGGCCCTAGGGACTGAATTAAGGGGGAAAGAGAGCCACGCGCCCCAGGGGAGGGGGCGGTAACGCCTGCCCCTGAGGCTGGGCCGCAGCTCCGACTTGCGGCAGCCCCGCCACGTTCCACGGTGGCTCTGCTACTTGCTGTGGCCACAGGGGAGCCGCCCACTGCCGGTGTCCCGGAGGAGACATGGCGCTGGGGGGCTTCCAGCCAAGGCTTCAGTGGCCTCTGCCCCTGCAGGGTGGCTGAGGGTGGACGGTCTCTGCGCCCGCTCCCTCGCGGGGCTGGACGCAGCCTGGCCTTTGTCTCCTCACTGCCAGGCTCCCCCTCGCCTTTGATGGCAAGTTCCTGCGGCCACTGCTCCCCCTGCCCCGGAGCTGCCAGCTGGAATCCAGATGTGGCTGGGCTGGGAGCGTGCTGGATCCCCGAGGTGATGGGGGCAGGGAGGCCACCCCCCTGCCACCCCTCTCCTCCTTCGACCCCACATCCATCGGGAGGGGGCCCGGGTTTGGGTTTCACAACACACAATGGCCTCTGTCTTGCTCAGTGGGGAAGGGCCCTCCCTTTCCGAGCCTGGACCAGCTCCCGCCCAAGAACAGAGGGAGAATCGAATATGCACATGCACACTGAATGCAGGACGCTGTGTGGCTCTGACTAGGTCGCTCAACCTCTCTGGGTGTGGCAGCTCCCCGCTGGCCTCCGAGCTCCTGCGGGGCTGTGGCTGGGAAATGCATCATGCTCCCCCATGACGGGGAAAACCAAGGAAGAGAGGAGCGGGCATTGGGACCCCCGGGGTAGGCAGGGGTGATTGTCCCCATCAGCAGCTCCCTGGTCAGTGGCTCACCTGAGCCCTCCGAAGGACCGAGTAGGGACCCTAGCCATAGCCAGTGTCCCTTGGAACTGTGGTCTGAGCCAGTCCAGAGCCCACCTCTCCCTCACCTCTGAGCTTTTACAGCTACTATTCCTTCTGTCTGTAACACCTGTCCACCCCGGCCTTGCCTTTAACTTCCTCTCATTTTTTAGCTTCTGGCCTCGACATCTGCTCCTCCCGGGAGCCCTCCCTGACAGCTCCTCCCCCAATGATAACAACGGCTACCCACAATTAATGAGCACCTGGTATGTGCCAGGCACTGCTCTAAGCACTGGCTGTCATTAACTCCTTGAGACGCGCACCTCCACTATTTCCAATGTTGCGTGTCAGGAAACCGAGACCCAGAGAGGCGAAGTCGGTCGCCCAGGTCACACAGCCGGGATTCGAGCCCTGCAGGCTGATCCTTGAGCCTGAGTTCTCCACTGGGCTCTACTGCTTTTTTTTACTAAATGAATGAGTGAATGAAGGAGCGAAGCCTTTGGGGGAGGGGGCGGCAGGGCCCCACTCCTGCTTAGGGCCCCTCTAGTCTGCGGTAGGATTACTCAGGAGAAGCCTTTTACAGGCACACGTCTGGCTGGGCACCGGAGCAGGGTAAGCCACGGAGGGGGACAGGGGCTGGGGAGGGGTGTGGCTGTGGCTGGGCCAGGGGGCCAGTGGGGCTTGAGTGTGGGGGTGAGGGTTCCACTGTTCCCAGGGGCCGGGAGCCTGCCAGGGCCCGAACAGGCCCCCACTGTCCAGGAGCTTGTAAAATCGCACAGCTGCCCTCAGCCTGGGAGCCTGTCCCAGGGCCAGGCCTGCTGTCGCCATAAGGGGGAGGGAGAGAGTGAGCAAAGCCATCCCAAGACACGGGCCCCCACTCAGGGTGGGGACTGGGGGCTTCTGGGGATGTGTGGTGGGGGTGGGGGTGCCGAAGAGCCCTCTTGCCTGAGCCCTGTCCCGCTCTGGTCAGCCCCGCAGACCTGGAGTCCTGTCCAGGGCGAGAGCAGGAGGGGCGGAGCTCCCAGGTCCGGCCGCTCTGCACTGGGCGCAGCATCTTCAGCCCCCTGGGGCGGTTAAGGGGGTTTGGGCCCTGCAGCAAGCCTGCCTGGGTCAACGCCAACTCCACCTGCTCCTGGCCGTGTGGCTTCGGGCAAATCGCCTCACCTCCCTGGGCCACCGTGTCCACGTGTGTGAAGAGATGGTCCTACTCCTCCCGGGAGGGGCCTCCGCCTGCACAGTGGGAAGACCTGCGAGCTTTAAAAAAAGTCCTGACTCCTGGCCTCGCTGCCGTGGCTCAGTTGGTTGGGCATCGCCCCATGAACTGAAAGGTCCCCGGTTGGATTCCCAGGCAGGGCACACGCCTGGGTTCCAGGTTTGGCCCCCCGAGGCAGGTACGGAAGGCAACCAATCGATGTTTCTTTCGCACATCAATGTTTCTTACCCTTTTTCTCCCTCCCTCCCCTCCTCTCTCTAAAAGAAAAAAAAAATCCTGACTCCCAGGCCTCCCCCAGACCAATGAAATCAGAGCGCCTGAGGGTTTGGCTGGGCAACTGTCACCCTGTCACCACCGGACAGCGGTCACTACCAAGATGCAAAGTTGATGAGGAAAGGGGTCCAGGGCTCTATGCACCACCATCTCCCGGCATGCGGCACAGTTCCTGACGCACAGTAGGTGCTCTGTGTGCGCGTGGGCATCTAGGCCAGCCCACGCACAACCATATCTAGCCCTCTCCACGTTCCGCCAGGCTGGCCTCTTTCTCATTCACAGAGGCTTGGCCCTTGAGTCTGCCCCGGCTGGGGCCAACTAACCCCCTGAATTCCAAGGTGGCCCAGGAGCAAGCCGCAGGGTCATTGACCCTTTGTTTTCCAACCATGACTATTTAATGAGCACCTACTATGTGCCAGGTATTGGGGCCACACCGTTAGCAAAACAGATCTGAGGCTATAGCCTAAGGGGCGAAGGTGAATCCAACAAAGGATCATCCAGGTGTAAGCACATGCTTAATAACAGGAATAGCTGCCCCTTGTAAATGGGCTGTCATGCGTGTCCGGAGTGTCCCTTTCCGTAGCTTTACTGACGTGTGATGGACGCACACTCGATGCGCACGTGTAAAGTGTACAATGAGACAATTTGACTTCCGAATATCCTCATCACCTCGAAGGTTCTTTGTGCCCCTTGCAAACTCTCCTTGCTGTTCCTCTCCATCCCCCGCCCCCCGTCCCCAGGCAACTGTTAATCTGCTTTCTGTCACTGTGATTCATTTTTATTCTCTGGAATTTTATATAAATGGAACCATACAGTGTGTTCTCTTTTGGTCTGGCTTCTTTCACTCAGCATTCATATTTTGAGATTTATTTATGTTATTGTATGTATAAAGGTTTCACTCTTTTTTATTGCTGAGTAGTATTCCCTTGTATGGCTGTGTTACAATTTGTTTATCGGTTTACCTGCTGATGGACATTTGGGTGGTTTTGTTTTTGGTTATTACAAATAAGCCTGCTGTGAACTATTGATGTTATGTTATTTCTTCCTCAAACTCTTGTTATTGGGATGGTCATTATTTCTCCCCATTTTGCAGATGAAAAAAACAGAACCAGAGAAGTCAAGTAGCTTGTCCTAGGTCACACAGCCAGTAGTTGGAGAACCTTAAATAGTAGGAAAGCTTGAGCTAAGTGACTTTAGGGAAACTCTACAGATCAAAACCCCTAATCGAGACCAGCCTCTTGGTATATACGCAGGCATCTGAGGATCAGACAGGAGCTGTGGCGTGTCCAGAGCTGGTGAGAGTCGGAGGCTCCGGTGGGCGGCCTGGTGCTGCGTCCAGCTCTGAGCCGCTTTATCCTGCTTTTCATCTGGTGTGGGGGGGTGGGGGACTGGACCTGTCTGGAGTGGGGCAGGGATTTGCCACTTTTTGGGGAGGTTTTCATTTCAGGCTTCCTCCGGCTGCTCACAAATAGCAGGGAGGATTTGGCCCTGGCTCCAGGGCCCAGGAGCTTCCCTGGCAGCTGCTC